CCCGCTTATGTAAAAGTTTATGTAGATTAATGCCACAATTTATGCAGATTCAGTTTTTGCCACTCAGGCTTGAAGCACTAAAAGGTAGATGAGCGCTGACCTTCCCTGCTAACAGCTACGTGAGCTCTCACCGATTATCTCATAACTGCTGCACACAGTGTTGGTTCGGTGGCAGACGGAGAGATGGAGAGCAATTTCAGAATTCATAACGTTCCATTTTTAACTTTTTTTTAACAGTGTCATTTAAAGCAAAGCTGTCTTTTTGTCAAATGGCCTTTGGGAGGCTTAGTAAGTGTGGTTTGTGCCACAATGCACCACACACACACACGATTGTCCCTCATTTAAAACATCATGCTTCCTGCAGCCCCACAGTGTCTGTCAAACAGAAACAACTGCCAGAGTGGTATCAAGCAACAGTCTGTGTGTCATGCCGAGCCTCCACAGAGCCGTAAACTCGCAAGTGGCAGCAGCATTGCCGAGGTTGAACAGTCAAGTGCCATCAAGAGCAGTTTGCCATAGAAATGGGTCTATCTGAAAGCAAACAAAAGGCTCACACTTGACTCGAATGCTCCATGTAGGCTAAGTGGCACAGGCCTGTCTGACACTGGAAAATGGCTTTCAGTCTGAACAGACAGAGCAGAAGAGTAGAGAGTAGACAGTAAATGTCACCGTTATAACTTTCTGGGGGGAAAAGTGTTACATTCAGCTGCAACTGTCATGTCCAGTTTGAATGTAGTGAAGCAGGGCCGAAAGGGTAACGCCGAGGTTGTTGGAGTGGTTTTGAATGTATAGATAATTGTATTCTTTTTAGGATTTTTAACATTGATGTACCTCCTCTGCCTCTTTCAATTGAAATAACAGCAATGATCTTAATTGTAACTGCAAGTGCAGACACAGTATCTGTAGCGCAGTCACAAATGATTGTGATTAATGCATTTTTCATCCTCACAAACCTCTTTTTCACACCTCCTATAAAGAGTGAACTTTTAGCAGAGCAATTTTCTGATCTCGCATTCGAGGTCTGTTGCGAGGTTGACACCCTCCAGTAGCTCTCTGTGTTAGTGTTACTGATGATAGCGATGAGCTCACTCACAGCATTACATCAAAAAACACTAGCAGCAAAGCAGAGCCTCCATCAGGTCACTAACCCTCTGTGCCTTTTACACAAACACAAAGTGACCCGCCAGTCACACAGTTAAGACAAGGTGTCAGCTGAAGTTAGCGCTGAAGTGAGTTAAAAGCCCCGGCTGGCACGGAGGCCCAGTGGGAAAACAGCTGTTCACTTTAACTCCTCACTTCACTGCAACTGTGTGTGTGGGAGAGCGTCCGCGTGTGCACTGTCCAGGATATGTATTCGTGTGTGTGTGTGTTTTTCTGTGCACTATTTATATCTGTTACTGTGTCCTGCCGCTGACCCGCATGGTGTCTTTTCCGCCTAATGTGATGCTGCAGCCTACAGTAGGTTGACTGCACATGAGTGTGTCATGTTATCACTGATGTTTCAGCTGGCTGTTTATATTAGACTTATTAACCTCGTATTCATAGGCCTAACTGCCATTTTAAAATCAACTATTTAAAATCTGATTGCATCCTGCTACATTTCAGCATGCCAAAACTAGGTGGATGTTACCTAATATTATAATTTACAGTCCCCCTCCACTCAAAAATATTGTTTTTCTTCTTGTTCCTACAGTTTTCTGTTGGAACCTCACTGTGCACTGGAAGGATGTTTTCACAAGTGGAAAGTGTCTCTGTGCTAACTTGGCCTGCAAGCATGATTTGTGACATCACAAGTAGTTTGGATGTGAATCCTGGTGTATGTCAGACACATTATGGTTCCAAATAGTCTATTTGTATATGTTTTAATACATGTCTGAAGAGCATCTTTAAAACTCCTTAATATGTTCACTGTGCTCTGAACAAGTAGTTATTACTAGTTATTGAGTTACTCACATCCTTCCTTGCTTTAAATCTGGGAGGCAACTGAAAGATGAGCTGTAGTGAATGTGGGTCAAAGAGTTTTTTTTTTTAAGTAGTGTTTGCTTTTAGATTTTCAGTTTTGTCATGTGTGTGTGTGAAGGCTGTGACATGCTCAAACTGCCCATGCACGCACTATGTCTCGAGCACTCCAACAGCTGAATACATGATGTGCTCTCATCCTTGCACTTTCATACGGAGAGTTAATTCAATATAGACATTTACACATCCTGTTAAAGTGTTTGGTGTTATCAGAACAAACTTGAGTTGACTTCTGAATGTGTTTTTAGTTCCGTCAGGATCGTTGCAGATTGTTTCCTCTTGGTGCAGAATGCGTAATGTGGAAATGCGAGCTGTCGTGTGCAGTATATGCCACACCTGCAAGATCATAATCCGCAATGGTTGTGTGATCTGATCCTGTATACCTTTGCCCCCTCCAGGCTCAGCTCTCCTGCAGCAGACTGATGGAGACGCCCGGACAGCCCTGGATCTGGTCTCCTCTACAAGTGAGAGGGACGAGCTCCTCCACAGCGCGCAGGTAGGGGACTTGGACCTGAGAGACAGGGCAGTAACTCAGGTGTTGAACCTGCCCCTCCTGGAAGCCGGATCCTCTCTGCTGGCTCACCTTATTTTCTCCTACCAGCAAGAGAGGGGCCTGTTCGGCTGTGTGCAGCCCAGGGACAAATCCCACAGCCTGGTCAGGGCCCTGGAAGCATACTCCCTCCAAAAAGTGACTTTGGGCTGGACGGACCAGCGGGTAGTGAGGCTGGTGGAGGATGCAGAGACACTGTTGGAGCTCAGCAGGGGGAGTTACCTGGGGCAGGTGTCTCAGGCAGTGAAAGAGTGCAAAGGAGAGAATATACAGTTCCTAATGGAGATACTGGAAGATCTTAAGTCACGGGGAGAAGCGCTAGTGGCTGACCTCTGACATAGGATCAACACACAACACACTGAAAAGACTTGAATGCACAACTTGTGATTAAAATGTTATCAGTTATATACAACTGTTTATTATATGTTCATACAATTCACAAAGGCCTTAACATGTCTACACAGGCAACAAACACCATCTGGTCTTCTGTAGATATATGTCATGTGGCCTTCTATCTTCCCTTTCAGGTAAATGGGTAAGCGTGTGTTTTGGAAGTTACATGTATGTTCATTTCTACAGAGAAACCATTTTAAAACATAAATATCTATAAATATATATATATACATACAAGTGGTTTTGGTTTAAAATACTTTATACTTGGCAGTTTTTTATGAAATGAAAAAATGTATATTGAATGTTCACACAGTTGCACATTTTTAGGGCAACACTAACATTTCTGTTACACTACTACCTCAAGTTCTTGTTTTCTATGGCTACTTGATGTTCAAATATAAAAATATTCTCATTTGCATTTTTTATTTTGTTAATATGTATTATTTATGACAAAATAAATGAAAGTGACTTCATTGACTGTTAAACTCCCATGCCAAGGTGTTACGAAATTTGGCATTGAATCAAAGTGGTCAAGTCTTTTATTCCACTAAATCAGAGGAAATGGCTACTGCAGCATAAGGCTGAGAGGTGCTCTAACAAATGGAGTGGCTTCATGTGGGGGCAACAGTGAAAGAAAGTAAAAACCAGTTCTCACAGTAGTCCTCTGAGGTCCTTGAGGCACAGATGTGCACTCAGGGTCTCAGCCACACAGACAGCAGTGAGGAATGAGCCACTTCCTGAAGCTGAACATGAATGAAGAAAGGGGCTGAGGTCTGCTTGTTGGGGTGGGTCGAGTGTGCCATGGAGCAACGGAGGTGAGGAGAGGGTGATTTAAACCTGAAACGTGAACACTGCCAGTATCTGAGACTGAGATGAATGGCTTTATATTCCCTTCGCTGCTACCAGTATTGGCTTAGAAATTAAATTGTTGATGCGGACACAATTTTTTACAAAAACCCAAACACTTTGAAGATGATAAAAAATATTTAATCTCGTGTTTTTTCTTTTTCATTTTTTCAAAATAAGCAACACACATCAGATGCATTTAATTTCTCAAACCAGAAATATACATCATATTCTCTTTCACCCCTTCTGACCAAACCCATGTCTCAGCTCCCTATTAATGTCCTGAAATGTCATTGGTCAGACCTGGGCACATGAAGATGATGTCACAGGCAGGCAACATCGCAGGCGGAAAAAGACAGATCTTAGAAAATGAGACAGGCATACACCTACATTACAATATTATCACCAGACCATCAACAGGCATACTGTATAAAATATAACATAAATTAATAAGAAGTAAGCTATTTACAGTATCATTTAAAAAATAAATAGTCATTTTAACTTGGTGCAAATAAAAGTGCTTTTTTTCCCTTTACAGCTGTCAGTCTGATACATTCCTCTATAGAATTTATTTTCTCTACATCATACAAAATAAAAACACTTTGGTTTGCTTGCAAATGGAGCCTAAACCCAATGACAAAAAATAAGAAACATTTTTTGGATGCAATACCACACAATAGTCACCACAATTTTCTGTAAAATAACTACATACAGTAGTAGACACATACATATCAGGTATTCAAACAGTCCCTTCAGGCATTATAAAAAGCCATCCTTCACGAGCCACAGAGTGTTTGTTGAGGAGGCTATAATCAGTCTGCGACGCTGCTCTTGGGGGACGGTCTGTTATTGTCTTTCAAGTGGATTCCTCAAAGCAACAAAACAAAATCAATGGCCCTTTGGAGTGACAGATCCGAGCCTGTTGATATTTAAGCATGGAGATGGATGGGTAAAGAGGGAGGGAGCGGGAGAGGGTAGAGGCGATGGCTGGCAGACAGGCAGGGCGAGAGGATGACAAAATGGCTGAAGAGAGCTCCAGTTGCGGTAGAGAGGGGGTTTAGAGGGATAAAGACAGACAGAGAGACAGACGAACAGACAGACAAAGGGGAAAGATGGAGGGGGGGTGGGGGTGGTTGTGTTTTTTTTTTTTTTCTTTGGTGGTGGAGGCAGGGATCAGTAGGATGAGAGGAGGCCTCCTCAAATGTAGCCTGAGCTGTGATCTTTCAACAGATGCTCAGCAAGAAGCCCAGGAGACCGTCCCTTCAGACAGGGTCGCAACCCTGCTCACTGACGAATGAGGGAACCGCAGAGAGAGCAAACGAAGAGAAGCATGATGGAAAGAGAGGGTCTGAAATAGCATAAAACACACATACACCCATCCCTCCATCCCTGACATCTCAGGCCTAAGTCCCCTCAGAGCCTTGTCTTGTCACACAGCGACTTGCTGCTCATCTAGCTGACGGCCTTCTACACCAGCAAACTCCACACCAAATAACAGCTGGCACTTCTGCTGCAGCACACACACATGCTTTTACATGCTGACACACACACCAACTCAATCTACGCATCAGTCTACAGCTGGAGGGGAGATACAATTGTAACACACACCAACGCTGAGAAAAGCAACATGTCTTTGATTGCATAAACGTGTATACGCAAACACTCTTACATACACAGTTCACATACACAAGCCTCTGTCTCTGGAAAGATAGATCAAAGTTGAGCTGTGGGCACAGGAGGTGGGGCAGATGGAGAGGGCGGCCAGCCTGGGGCACAGCATCACAGAGAGCATGTTTGTGCGAGTGTGTGTGCCTGAGAGGGAGAGAATGTGCCTGCTCAAATGGGATGTTATGCTTTCATCTGTAAGCAAGAAGGTACAGTATGTGTATGTGAGATCTCTTAAAAAAGCAGTGTATTCACATGAGAGAATGGGAGGGGGGTTGTGTCTACATGCATGCATGCATGCTTGTGTGTGTGAATGCTCTCGTGTGTGGCCGCCGAGACAAACACACGGGGACATGAGAGGAAAGGAGACCAGCCTTTCAAATAAGATTAGGCCTGTGGCTGCCTAAAGGCCTGCCTGCCTGGCGACACTCTGCATAGACTGGGTGACATCTATATTAACACCACGACAGCAGAAGGCCCAGTCTGCTGCGCCTCCTGACAGCCGGAGAAGGTGTCTCACTGATTGACTGACTGGGGATTTGGACATGTTTTTAAGGGGTTAAACGAGGCTACAGCTGAACTATCTGGACACTTAGTAAGTGATAAAGGTTTGGGGCATAATGCCAACTGTCTAATACTCAACAGTGTTGCTCTTTTTTCCTCTGGGTATTATTTAATGATGATTATGTAATCGCAATCTATTTTAAGAACAGACTCACTGTACTTTAAACTAATGCCACTTAGTTTGAGTCAAGTCTTGAAAAAAAGCAAATTTGGCCATTGTGTAAAAGCACAGATACCACCACAAGCCTTCAGCCTGTTGGTCCAATTTTGTGTTTGTGTGGAAGGACATATCTGGAGGCTACTACCATAATTGCTAATCAACTTGGCTGGCTGAGTTAAGTGGAGACAATCCAAATGACTGCCAGTGAACATAACATCATTACCACATCCAAGAGGGGAAGAAAACAAAAGATACTTCAGTACAAAAACAATTAGAAAATATAAACATATTACCAAAATCATTTAATAACTACAATACGAGCTAAAAACAAAACTTAAAAATCTATTGCAGAGCAATAATGCAGAATGTTAGTATAAGGCTTGTATTTTGATAAACATGGACAAACTGACAATGTCTTTTTGGGATGGTGAGTATAAATGTTAAAACTCGTTTTACTCATTGTTTGACACTTGTGGCAAGCAAATGGTCCTCTGAGCTGTCAGAGTGATGGAGAGAAGAAAGGAGGACAGTGGCTCACACGGCTGAGAAAAAGGTAATTTCATCCATCCTTCCTTATCGCCTTTAAAATCAATCAAAAGCATAAGGGTGATGAGAATAAGTCAAGAGATTTCTTGTACTTGTCTTTTTTCATACAAAAATTACACTTCAGGAAACTGCACTGTACATTGTGAGTAATTAAAGACAGAAAAATGTTTAAGAGAAGAAAATAGGAAAGAAAAAAAGGTAAAAGGATAGTTGAGCCGAGCGGGTCCAGAGCTGTCTTCCTCTGCTCCTCAGTGTCCAGGATTATAGACCACGAGAAGAAAAGTGGAGAAGAGAGGAGTTGGTGGGCGGACACAGTCATCTACCCGGGGTTGTTTTTCTTCCTTTTATTTGGACTGGGATTGGGATCCAGTTTCAGCTCTCGGTACTGCACCTGTTAAAACACACAGAAACACACACGCAGGCATGTACGCACGCGCACACACACCACACACCACACACACACACACACACCACCCGGTCAGGTGGAAAGAGCAAAGGATGCTTGAATAGCACAGAAACCCTCCAGAGGCTCTCTGAGTCCAGCTGTGTGGAACAGTGGCCTCAGGGAGGGGATTACACACTGATTACAACACACACACGCACACACACACACACAGATGCACAAAAAGACACTCACATGCGTATACACATACACAATCCATGTGCACTGTTATAAAGCTCCAGATACACAGACACAAAATATACACACATACTTCTACAGATGTGGGACAGTGGCAACTAACGGGAAAGGGATCACCAAAACAAACCCAAGAAAGGAAACAGGGGGGGGGCCCCAAAAAGGGCCCTCATCGGAAAGCTTGGAGAGACCAGAGTCATCTCAGCATGGAAATGATGGTGAGGGAAAAGAAAGGGCAGAGAGAGGAAGTAGAGAGAAGGTAGCAACAAAAATGCACCATAACCCCTTTTCAAAACCAAAGCCTGTGCTTAGCTGCTGTTATAGCTGACTACAGTACAACACACATGCTAATCCATAATGTTCAACATTATACTAGCTCTGAAGAAGAATTACCCAAACCACATGGACATTTTCCACTGTTTGCATCATTCATGGACATGCAAACATTCTCTCACCACTTAAGTCTGAAACTGCAGAACATCAGAGAAGCCTCTCATGTAAAGCTTTTCCAAAAATGAAGTGGACACTACAAAAGATGTGTATACCTGATGAGCTCAGCAGGAGGAAAAGAGCAACTTCAGAGTTTCCCTTATTTAATTGTACTCCAAGGACAGCAAAAGGAAACACATGAATGGTTGAATCGCAGAGCCCCATGTTATGCTCGTGTTTGGTTAACAGTAAAGCTGACCAAAACTCACCCATTTGCGCACGACTACACGATACTGCTTGTGGCCCTACTTTGCCTGAACTTAAAGAAACAATAGCGATGAGAAGAGGTAGGTACCACTCTCATACTGTGTCAGCCTAAAATATGAAACATACAGCCAATAGTGGTTAGCTTATCTTAGCATAAAGACTGGGAAAAGCGGAGTGTGAACAAGTGGTTTTATGGGACTTATGTTCTGGACTATTTCTTTTGAATAGTGACGTCCCAGAGTCTTATTATCACTGTGAGGTTGCCAAAAAACCAGCAGGGATTCCCGGAACTTACTGTGCTGTTATTAGTTATTAGTGAGCTTTGGAGGTGCTGGTAGGCAGCTTATGTTACCTTTGGACAGACTAGCTGTTACCCCCAGTTTCTAGTCTTCATGCTAAGCTACACTAACCATCACCTGGCTATAACTTCATAATTAACAGACATATGAGAGTGGTGTCCATCTTCTCATGCCAAGGAAGTAAATAAGTGACTTCCCAAAACTATTCCTTTAATAGTATAATTTACCCACATTCAATATCTAATGACTACTTTTGTATCACCATCATATCACTAAAAACTTAAAACAGACATTTTAGTGGCACCTTACAATCACTTCAGAATATGTTCAGCATTATCATTGAGGGAGCTTCACCCCTTTCTTCCAAAGGGAGCTGATTACCACTTCATGTGATGCTTTGCAAAGATGGTGAGCAGAGCTCTTCATCTTCAGAGCTGGTGCTCTTAAGTGATGGACACTCAATACGCAACAGCATCACAGTGGCTGAGCGTCAACAACCGGGGACTGTCACTCTGGCAGTCTCACTTTCAGATGTACACACACTTTTGCATGCACACACAAATACAGTCGCTAGCCTAGACAGATTCAAGACACTGACAAGCACTAGCCACTGAATCAGAATACTAATAGAAAAAAAAACAAGACTTAACAGTCACAGCACCAAAGAGCCAGTATCGTCTGTGGGATGCTTCCTAGACAGATGTACTGTAGGCTACTCTGCCTGTCTGACTGACTGACACCCTCTCTGATTCTCCAGGCAGACAACAAACTGACGTCAATATGGTTTCTCTGTTCTGTCTCGTGGTGGGTCTGTCTGCTGTGGACGGGAACAGCAGCGTCTCTCAGCGCTGGCTGGGAACAAGCCTTTATCATCCATCTTCTACTGGTTCCCACTGTCGCTTCAATGACGCCTTCCAGTATCCTCTGCCTGCAATGTACAAATCTGAGATGCAAAGAGGTGTGTGTGTGTGTGTGTGTGTGTGTGTGTGTGACACATCATGCAGAAACACAAAACTCCCATAAAAATCTGCACGCTGTACACACATGCAGTGGGGTATTTCCGTTCCTCTGTCTCACAGTGGTGGTCACCAATGTCTCGTTAACGTGCTTACAGAGTGGTTAGGCCAGCATGTGTTGCTCTCTACGCCTCACTAGCCAGTCAGACTGCACTGATTCAGATCTGGTTACTCCTCACTGTCCAAACTAACATCCTACCAAACAGCTGTGCAAATACAACCGGTTTGTGGGTTACAGTGAGAGAGAAGAGAGACAAGAAGGTAGTCTGAAAGGCAGTGATGGAATAAACAAGGAAGGAAAGGAATGATGGGAAGCGATAGAAAGAAAGGACAGAAATAGACGGAAAGATGAAGGGATGAAGGGCAGAGAGCAGGACAAACCAACAAAGGGAACAGGAGCGAAAACAATGAGAGTGAAGAAGAGCCTGGGTGAGACAGAGGGAGATCTGTGGACACTCGGGTGATGACAGATACTGTTGTCATGTGGGTGTGGATCCTTTTATAGCACTGCCAACTAAAGCAGACAACGGAGCAAAAACCCAGGGGACAGAGAGGGGTTTATATGGCCCCATCTGTGTGTGTGCGTGTGCGTGTGTGTGTGCGCACACGCAGTGGTAGTTTCCTTGGGGGACCGTGACAGTCCTGGCAGAGTGCCCACATTGACTGCGATCAATGACAGTGGTGCATCCATAGATGAACAAGTGAGTGAATGGTTGAATGATTTAATTCACTCATGAGTGAAGGACTAACAACACATCTGCATGTAGCGTGGACACATGGACACTTATCTGTTAATATCAAATAATTGCAAGCAAATTCGCTTAAAATGCACATTTATCAACATGTTTCTCTATATGCAACTTATTCTCACTCTTTGTTTGCCTCAAGCTTCAAGCTAGATAACATGGATCCAAAAGTAGGACAGGTATTGCGCGGGATCACTGGCTGTTAGTGGTCCCATTATACGACCAAACGCCTACAGCAGCAAAAAGGAACAGGCAATTTAATTTTGCGCGTTGACATTCCTGTCCAAACAAAACTCTTTGTGAGTGCAGACAAACAAAGAAAAGTTTGCATGTCAGTAGAAAGTAGGGTTTTGTTTCTCATGAAGAGTAGCGAAGGGGATCAACAACAAAAAAAAAAAGGATGCAGGAAAAAACAGTATCTCAATCAAACACAAGTTTTCTCTGTGAAGAGCTTCCAGCCGAGAGAAATGGGGCTCATGCGTCACAGGTTCAATTCCACCTTACAGGTGACAGGCCTGCCTGATGGTATACCCTTGGCTCCCCCGCTCACCTTACCCAACACACACACACACA